CATTTTTCTGGCAAATTATCGATGGGAGTGACGTGAAAAAATATAACGATTTTGTGGTTTGTCATTCTTTAATGGCTCACGAAGTTGCGTAGTGGTGCGATAATTTTCATGCGTTTTTTCTACAGTTTTGTGATTCTTTTTAAAAGTTTAGAGAAAACGCAGGAAAATGTTCGCACCACCTTAAAATTTCGTCAGTCATTAAATAATGACAAAACGCAAAAACGTTATATTTTTTCACGTCCATTCCATCATAAGTTTGCCAGAAAAATTGAAAAAACGTGAATTTTGGCAGAAAGGGTGTAGAACATCCTTAATCAATAATTTAGATACGAATTGGTAATCCCTTTCAAGAAATGAAAATTATTTACTTAACGAAAAATTCGCAGTCCCATATTATCAAACATTTAATTCATCATAAATCGCAAATTAAAATCCCTAACATCATACTATTTTTATATTTTGACTTGCATAAGAATTAAACCTTTATCAATGTAACTCGCAAATGCCTTTAACATTGCGGCCACCCCTGACTTCCTCAATGACGATTACCCCAAACTTCCTCTTCTAAATTAATCATTTTACACTAGTAAAAAAATTAAGATCCAAAGTCCAACAAACCTGTCCCTTCAGCTCGACATCAAGATACAGCGCCTGTCCCACGTACCCAGGAGTCGACTCCCCCTGTTGCTTCGGCCATTCGACCCTCTTGGAGTACCTGAACCCCTTGGACCCGCCATTCCAGATCTCGAAGTGCTCGTCCGTCGTTATCATGAGGTCTGGGTAGTAGTCCCCATTGAGATCCAGGAAAGCGTTGGAGTGGTGGGAGCGAATGGGCCTGAGGGCGTCAATCGCTCGATTGGAGATCATGGGGATGGCCTCGGGCCTCGTTCGATTGCGGTTGAAGACCCAGAAGGTGCGATTGTTGGACTCGTCAGAGCCGAAGAGGTCGATTATCATGTCCTGGTTGTAGTCGATGGTCAGGGGCTGCCCCCGCATTTTCAGGAGGGGCGCCTCCTCGTTCGAGCAGTTCATGGGCCCTGGACCTCCCCAGATTATGTGGACGTGCGTCAGCGAGTCCTGGCGGCTGTACGTCGTCACCAGGATGTCCATGAAGACGTCGCCGTCGTAGTCCCCTGGCACTACGCTCGTCACGACGTTCTTGAAGGCGCAGGTGAGGTTCGCCGGGCGCAGCAGGGGCTCCTGGTCCGACGCCAGGAGTATCTCCAGGGTTGTGGCGTTCTTTCGGAGGACGAAGACGTCCGTGAGCTCGTCCGAGTTGAAGTCGCCGAACGCCGCTGGCATTCCGTCGAGAACGCCTCCGAACACCGCGCCCGTTATGTCGGAGGTCGTCGTCGAAGCGATCAGCGAGGCGAGCAGGAAGAGCAGAATGTGACACTCCATTTTTGGGATGATCACATAATCTGCGGTCACGAATAATTTAACTCGTTTTTTAACCCTTTGCTTCTGAGTTGCTGTTTATTTCGGAGTGGTTTTTCGGCACGTTGTGGTTTCTATTTTTTCGAGGTTTTAGTCGTATGCTGGGGTCATTCATTTGATTTTATAATAATTTAGGGTTGATTGAATATTTTTAGTATTAATATTTTAAAAATGTTAAAATATTATTTTTTTAGACATGGAATCAGTGATTTTTAGAGTCGGAAATTATCAACTTTCTGGTGGAATCTTGAAATTACATTTTTTTAAGATTTTGAGGAAGTTATTTTTAGGGCCGAAAATTTATTGTTGATAAATTGTTTGTGAAAAGATTATGAACTTGAAAAATGTAATTTTTTAAATGATTTTATGAATCTTGTTCGAGAAGATTTTAGAATTCTTCTAGATGATCAATTTTTTTCTGACGATTAAATGTTGCTAATTCGGTAAATAATGAAGTCGTTCCAAGATGTTCGGTGCCCAAGAGTCAAAACGGCTTAAAGGGAAGGTCTACTGTAGAAATACGAATGATTTAAAGGATTTCAACGAGAAAATGACGTTAACATCTCATTCAATGATATTTTTTACTTTTTCTTTTAAAAAATTAATTAATTCATTAATTCTCTGGTGTTTCCTCATCACAAAAAGTGACAAATTCCACTAGCCAATTGTAGTAAACTAGTTCTATCCCTCAAAGACACTTAAAAGACACACAAAAGCTCAATTTCCAAAGAAAAAAATCCACAAAAATTACAGATTTGGAACAATCCAAAAAATTGTATTCGCAACAATTATTTAGTGCAAATGTTAAAAACTCGAATTTTAGTGAAAAAAAAAATGTGAACATCCCATTCCATAAAAATTTGTCACTTCTTCCTTTAAAAAACCATGAACATATAATTTACAATACGGATGTTTTAAAAGATTTCAACGAAAAAAACAACGTGAACATGTCATTGAATGAGAATTTATCACTTCTTCCTTTAAAAACCCATGAAAATATAATTCAGGGGGGGTTGGGGTAAAACGGACACTTTTGACTTTTTTAAAAATGTTAATGAGGGGTTGAAATGTTGATAAAATTCAATAATTTTCGTTTCAATATAAAGAACAATTCTTTCCCTTTGTCACGAGCCTAAACTGAGCTCAATTGGTCAATTCGTTTCTGATCGAGTTATGAATATTTTTAAAAAAGTCTGAAGTGTCCGTTTTACCCCACCCTCCCCTACATCCTTATTAATAAATTCTCTGGTCTTTCCTCACCACAAAAATAGTACATTACATGCCCGAGTCTTGGAAAACATATCACCCTCCCCCACGTGCAAGATTGCCTTCCGAGCCAAAGGCGAGGATGGCAAGCACGTGGGGGAGGGTGATATGTTTTCCATGGCGAGGTGTGTATATTAATTTTCGTGTCACGAAAATGGGGTTTTTCAGGTCCCGTGACACGAAAACTTCGTATTCCACTTGTCACTCGCAGTAAATTAGTTCTATCCGTCAAAACCACGCCAAAACCTCAATTCCCCCTCCAAAAAAAAACATAAATCTCCAAAAACTTCAGATTTAAACCAAACCAAAAACTAAATTCGCAATAATTCACAACAATTACCTGATGACATAAAAATCCTCCAAATCTTGAGGAAACAATCAGACTTATGAGTCAGCTGGAGACGTAGTAACCCCCACTCATGCGTCAGCCTCCCTCACTCCTCCCAAAACCCACTTCCCCAAATTCCAGTCCTCCAACCCCCTCTCCCCGTCAAAACACCAAAGCCCTCAATCCAAAAAACCCACCTCAAAATCCTCAAATCGCTCCAAAATCAATAAACCCGATTTATTCCCTCACCACTTCTGACATTCCCCGACATTTCCCAGTTCCGAGAACAACTACAAGTGGTGCTGCACTGCACTGCGCAGACCCGCGCAAACACCGAGTGTCCCTAACCTAAAAGTCTCCCTCCGTTCAAAAGCCCCTACCACTCGAAAAAAAATTTTAACTCAATGAATAAACAATTCCCCACCCCCAAATAAAAGGTGATAATCGCTTAAACCACTAACAAACTCCCTAAAATCTGACATTAATAAAAAAAAAACTCCTCAGGTGGAACGGACCAGCAAGAATGACAGATAAACAAGACCCCAACGACGAGATCCGTTCGATGTCTCGTAAATTCGAGGCGATAACAACGACAGACAGGAACTCAAACTCCCACGATGGCCCAGGAGGCAATTCTCCATCAGTGATCAACGTCAGGACCTCGAGAAATCACGAGGAGGTGAGACAGACAGCCGATGGGCTCTCCCTGTCCCTTCAGAGGGTGCGCAAGGACATTCCAGAGAGGATTATTTTCGTCGTGGACACTGTCAGAGAGACAGATTGCACTCCCTTTGAGATCGGTTCAGGCGCCAAATTTCCCCCCCTCCACATGATAAAACGAGTAATCGAGATATTCATCAGTGCCAAGGGCTCGATCAGCAAAAAACACGAGTACGCAATCATGAAGTTGACTGACGAGTCCTGCCAGTGGGTCTGTGACTTCACTGACAACCCCAAAACCCTGGTCAATCAGCTGGACAGGATTGAGGAGGTCCAGGTGGAGGAGAACTCCAGGAGGTGCGACCTCACCGCGTGCTTTCAGTTAATCGACGACAGAGTGGAGTTGGAGTGGAGCTCCAAGGAGCCCAGGTCCCTCACTCGAGTTGTTCTCATCTACTCGAGGTCCCACTGCATTCCTGACTTCTCAGACTCCAGGAGCTTCACTGCTCTCATGGAGAATCCTCACTTCTTCACGGATGTCGTTTATGTTCACGAGAAGGTCAATGAGGGGAACGAGTGCGAGGAGGTGTACACGAAACTCGGGGAGCTGGACGTTAAACAGAACTCTTATATTTTCGAGGTGGCCAGGAATCCGGCCAATCTGCATAATACGATGGCGAAGCTGCTGGCGCATCCTCTGCAACGACCCAAGCAGGACGACACCTCGTATGTGCCTCAGTGCTTAGAGGACACCGATGTGCAGACTAATGTTTGAAGATAAGACTGTTTATTTTTTCTTTTTGATTGGGGGATTTGACTTTTTTAAATCAAATAAGTGCGAAGTGGTGAATTACTTGGAATGGCTGGAGAGCTTGGGACTGGGGAATTTTTGTGGGTTTTTTTGCAAATGTCTTTGAGGTGAGGTCTTTAAGATGTTCGCTGAGAGCCATTGAGGATTGTGAAGAATTTTTGCAGGATTTATTTCATCTTCTTCTCTGTAAACTATATTTCCCACGTCTTTCCGGTTATCGACAATTATGAACTAGCTTTGCAGGATTATTCATGAAGAATTAGACATTTTTGGGGGTACTTTCGTCAACAGTGGAATTCTTATCAATTTTTTTACGTAGAAGTATTTCTTTGGAGAATTTTTCAAAGACGCGTGATTTTAGTTCATCTTCTGTTGAAAGAGCTTGAAGATTTTTTTTATTAACCGAAGTTTTTGTAGGAAATAATGCATTTTCGATAGAATTTTTTATAATTCCCACGTTGATTTAAACAGTCTCGTCACTTCATCACTGATTATATAATTCTGTCTGATTTATTATTAAAAAAATATTTGATTTGTTCGTCGAAGACTAAATTATGCTGCTCAATCGGTTTCATCTTCAGTTTCCTCAACGTGAAATGTTAACTGAAAAAGACAGTACAGTTTGTATTATGTATTGACAATTGAGAGGTATGGAGGAATTGATGAAGGCCTGATTGATGAATAAATAGTATATGTTTCTTGATTAAAAATAATAATCGACGAAATTCATTTATTCACACCTCTGCAGATTTTTTTTACATTTCCTTCATTAGATTTTTGGAATTCTCAAGCTTCATATATACAAAAAATTCAAGTTCTCATGGACTTCTTCTTCGTTTTCTCGAGTTTTTGTCTTCTCGACTTCGAGATCGCTTTCTGGATTTCAATTTGTGCTTTTCTCTATCTCTCGATCGATGTCTCTCGTGTTTTTTATGCTTCTTTCGTTCCTCTGAATGTCGACGACTCCTCGAAGACTTCGAGTGTTTAGAATGGCTTTTTATATCGCCACAAGAAGCAAAATCACGAGACTCTCTCCTAAAATCCCTCGACGAATTTCGCTCGTCTCTGGAATTATTTCTATTCCTCGAGTCCCTTTTATCCTCCCTCAGGGGTTCTACTCCATTTCTCACGTCTCTCTCGCCTTCTGCATCCGATGTGACTTTATTGGACTGATTTTTCTCGACGAGATACTCAGCCAACATCTCCATCTGCTGATTAATCACCTCTCGCATTATTTCAGTCTGTGATTTTTTATTTGTGTGCACCCCACGATGTTTAACTCTTCTTCTCTTCAAATTCCTTTCCTGAGCTAGTAGCTCCAAATAGGACGACGTTTTATTGGCTTCATCTCGATTTCTGTAAACCATAAAGCATAAAATTCGATTCAACGAGAAAAAATTTACACTGGAATTTATTAAATGATTAGAACATCTCCAGAACTGAAATTAAATTCTCTCACGTTTTATTGAGATCAGCAATGTCTTCCCCTATGTCTGGCTGCTCTGTGTGCGATACCACGTAGTCGTAGAGTATTCTTCGCTCCTCAGGAGTGAAATCAGTCAGGAGTCTGTCTGAGGTGCGGGGAATCAACCGGCAGTCCACACCTATTTCAATTTTTTAATGAAGACAACGTAATAATCACTCGTGCAAACGTTCACGCAGGAAGAAATTTCAATCTCGCCGAGGATTTTCGCTGCTTTACTGCGCGTTTTTTCCAGGAAGTGTACAATAGAAAGTATTTAATATAACAAATCTGTAGAATTTCAGTTATCTGTAAAACTTTTTCTATTAAGACATTTTCTGTAGAAATTCCTCGGCAGTAATTTTCTTATTTTTTTCACTCCCTTTCTCTTCGGTTTTCATTGAAAAAAATGAATCAAAAATACTTGTAAAATTATAACCTAGAAAATTCTACAGAAAATATCTCTTTCTATAGAATAAGTTGTATAGAAAAATCGAATTCTATTCATTTTTTGTAGAAAATTTTGCATTGAAATTTTCTCGTACGTGTTAGATTGCTGTAGAGTCACGACGAATTATAATTGATTTTTAAAGGATATAAAAAAGGATATAGCAAGTCCTGTGCAAGAATTATCATAATCACTATCGGCTGTAAAAAATTCAAATGTTTAGAGAATTTTTTTAAATGCAGCAGTGGAATTATTTCTGGGTTTACCTTCTCTGGGAGGTGCATCGGGGGGTTTCGAATGCCGGAGAATTTCTGCTATAGTTTTTTCATCTGAAAAGGGAAATCATCAGCGAATATTTATTTTTATAATTATTGTTTTCTGCGAAAGTTCTTTAATTACCGAGTTTTATACAAGTAGATGCGTCAGGCGGAACTGAAGGCAGCGATAAAGGTAGATCGTCTCTGCTGTATCCTTCAGCTTTCCAGAGACAATTTTCAATGTGTTTTTCCACGCTTTTAGGGTGCAATCGGTGCGAGGAGTCGAAGGGACAAACTAATGGGGGCGAAATCTTGAAAAAAATTAATTTCTTAATTCAAAAAAATTGAGACGTTTAGTACAAAATAGTATTGACTCTGGAATTATTTGGAGATTTATTTTAATCGAATATTCTCCATTCCAAAAAATGCGACAGTTTAATTAATGAAATTGTCTAATGTCTGGAATTATTTAGCAAAAGTTCGGAGATTTTTTTTTATTTTACTGCACTTGCTGTCACAATAATAAAGGAGATAACCTACGTCTGTAATGCTCCTCTCGCTCCACCCCATATTCAACACCATTTCATTCAATTTATTTTTCGTTTTTGTGGCAAAATTTATGAGCTCATTAATGTCTTTATCGCGACTTGAAAAAATTTCTTCCATTGTTAATTAACTATTGACTAACTAATAGAACTCATTCACGTGCACTCCGAAATGTACTGGCCACTGCAGAGCGATAATTAGGGCTGAGCGAGATTTGTCGATTAATCGAAAACATCGATTTTTCATGCCTAAACATCGAAACATCGATATTTTTCATTCGACGTTCTCAATGGTTGATTAATTGATTTTTGATTTTTTTTCCAAAATATCGATGTTTTTGAGCAACCTAACAAAATTTTCAATTTTTTTATCGAATAATCGAATAATAATTTTGATTAGATTTTTTTTCCAAAATATCGATGTTTTTGAGCAACCTAACAAAATTTTTCATTTTTTTATCGAATAATAATTTTAATCATGTTTATTGATTGAGAATAAAAAAAATAATTAATAAAATTCATTCACGCGGACTCCGAAAAGTCAGGCCACAGCAGGGCAATAATCGATGTTCGATGTCCGTCGATTAATCGAAAACATCTTTTTTTTTCAATAATCGATGTTTTTCCACAAAAACCGATTCACACCATCGATTCTTCGATAATCGATATTTTCGAACCGCCGCCCGCCCCTAACCCTCTCCGCCAGTGCACACATGTTCTTCAAGTTTGGTTATGTTGTCATTCACATTTACAATCAGTGAGAATCGTTCAACTCGTGTAAACAAGTCAAGTGAAATAATCCAGAAATGTCGAAAACAGTAGAAACCCCTGAAAATCCTCCCGCGAAAGGCCTCAAAAGGAAGAAGAAGCGTTCAGCAAATCAGATGGCCAAGAAGCTAGCCCGCAGACGAGACCCAGGTCACGGCAGTGAATTAGACTCCGACAGCTACCAATACATGGTGCGAATAATGGAGGTCCTTCGCACGGATTTCCCCACGATGGACGACAAACTAATTTTCGTGAATAACGTCTTCGAGCAGACGATCGCCCACGAGGTCGACTACGCCAAGAACCAGGTGGGCTCTCTCGTCCTGGACACCTTAATGAAATACGCAAGCCTCGATGTTATCCAGAGGATGACCGACGCTTTCAGCCCCTCACTGAGGCCAATCTGCAGCGACAGATTCGCCAGTCACGTCTTGGAGAAAATCATCCAGACATGTGCAGACAGGGGAAACAGAAAATGCAAGTCTGACCCATTAAACAAGAATGAGGTGCCAATTGCAGAGGAAGAAATTGAAAAATACAACGACATCACCATGAAGCTCAGCAAGTACATGATAAACAACATCGAAGAGTTCATTTACGACACGTACGCCAACCACATCCTGAGAACCTCGATCCACTGTCTGGGGGGATTGATAGACAAAGATGGAAATGATCAGAAAAAAAAAAATTTAACACTGACACAACGAAGAGAAGTCATCCAGGATTACACAGATTTACTGTTGGACGCAGGCAATCGCTTACTGCGATGGCCCCAGTTCATCGAATTCGGTAAGGACGAATTAACCTCAGGTTTGCTCCAGACCTACCTCCTAACCCTGAAGGACGTGGACCCAAAACTGGCAAGTTCGATAATTAAAAAAATCATCTCCGAATGTTTCACTGAGAACTCTGACGACTGTCTGTCCAACATTTTCGATGCAGAAAGCTCCCTGAGGCTTCTCGAGACTTGTTTAGCCTCTGCGAATCCAAAAATGTACAGCAAGATCTTCAAGAAGCTGTTTGAGGGGCGTTTGAAGGAGTTATCTCTGATGAAGGGCGCCAACTTCTGCGTCCAGAGGCTGATGGACCACTGTCCCACGAAGGAGGAGTTCGAGGCGATCTTCAGTGAGATCTCGGAGTATTTTCCGGAGATTCTGGGGAGACAGCACACTGGGGTCCTGTCGAGCCTGGGGAGCGCTTGCCTGAGGCTGCAGGCAAAGCAGGGCCCATTTGTCAATGTTGTGGCGAAGGGATTGAAGTGCGACGAGCCGCAGGAGCGGCAGCTCTTCCTGGTCCCCTTGGCCGCCAGATTAATTACGTACGAACAGTTTGAGTCAGCCAAGAGGCAGGGGAGGAGCATTCCCCTGCATCTCCATGGCAGTTTGATACTTCAAGCTATTCTCCAATTCAATAAACCCATTAAGATTGTTAACTCGATGTTTTCGATGGATGCGGAGGAACTGGCTGCGTTATTCAGTGATCCAAAGGGCAGCAGGATATTGGATGCCTTCATGGACAGCAAATTCGTCGGGGAGAAGAGCAGAGATAAATTAGCCAAACAGCTCAAGGGACACTGGGTCACACTGGCCTGTGGCACACATGGCTCCAGGTGTCTGGACAAAATTTGGCAGTACTCCAAGGACAATCAGAAAATTCATATTATGGAGGAGCTCGCTGCAGCTGGGGAGGCCATGAATTCCACGAAAACAGGGAGACTCATCTCGGCGAAACTTAATGTTTCTCTGTTTGCACGCAGCAGGAAGGAGTGGAGCGAGGCGAGGGGCAAGGAGGAGAAGGCGAAAACACTTTTTGCCAGTATTATTGGGAATGCTAAGTGAGACGCGAGGCTCTTCGTTTTTCAGTTGTACAGCTGTTGAATAAAAAAATAGTGGAGGAACAGCAGGCATTGGTCATTTCACTAAATGTGGGCGTCCACATGAAAAGGGCCCACTTTGACGGTATTGGAATCATGTATGTTCCGATAATCTTGATCAGATTTCTCAAATTTTGAGCCCAAAATCAACCCGATAGAATGGAAACTGACGTCAGTATAGACGATCAAAAAAACAATTTAAGATTGGTTTAAGGATGTTCTACACCCTTTCTGCCAAAATTCACGTTTTTTTAATTTTTCTGGCAAACTTATGATGGAATTGACGTGAAAAAATATAACGTTTTTGCGTTTTGTCATTATTTAATGACTGACGAAATTTTAAGGTGGTGCGAACATTTTCCTGCGTTTTCTCTAAACTTTTAAAAAGAATCACAAAACTGTAGAAAAAACGCATGAAAATTATCGCACCACTACGCAACTTCGTGAGCCATTAAAGAATGACAAACCACAAAATCGTTATATTTTTTCACGTCACTCCCATCGATAATTTGCCAGAAAAATGAAAACAACGTCAATTTTGGCTAAAAGGGTGTCGAACATCCTTAAATGGGAGATGGGGAGAGAAAAACGTGAATATCTTGGAAACTAGATGCGACAAAGTGGGCCCTTTTCACGTGGACGTACACAAATATTTCTAGATCGTTAACAGCTACTAAATTATAATAAATGCCCATAATGCAGAATCATGTATTTCAATTATTCGTAATTACACGTTGATCTTTGCTTTTTGGGTTGGAGACTGGGTACATTTTTTTAAAATTCGATTGAGCAAAGTTTCCTACATGATGTTCATCACGAGCTATGATTTATTGCAATATTTGCTTTGCCGTTGGTTCGTGGTAATTTTGGCTTTATGACTAGACAATGTGCGATTAATTTTACAGCTTATTATTTACTAGAGAAATCAATGGATTTGATTTATTATTTATACATTAAATTGTATCTATTCAATTGACTAGGATAAAAAGGTAGGTGCAATTATTACAAAATAATAATTATCGTAATAACAAAGGTATTTTAACAATATTAATTATTAAATGATTATAATTACGTGCTTTGTGACAATTGACTCAAATTGTATATGAAAGATTTGTTTTTATTCAACATGCACGATTACGATATTAAAACGTCTTATCGTTTGTACCTATTAATTGGGATTTAAACTGGCGAGAAATTAATGAATTATTCACGTAGAGGTGAAACGTGATAACAATACAAATTTTTGGAAACAATTATGGCCATTAGAATTCTTCATTCCTCTTCGTTTTTTTTTTGGTTTTTCGTTTCGACGGGAATTTATTATCGACAGGAATGAGCGTAACGTGGGCGACTGAAACGTGAGAGAATCGTGTAGTCTCGCCTGTACAATCACTTCCCCTTGGCAACTGCGGGAGTTGCACTGTCTATTTCACTGGAGTTGGTGCCAGGTCTCGGTGGACTCGGCGATGAGGAGCGAGTGGGCTCCTGGGTGGGGCTGGCTCTGCAGGTGGCGTGATGCCCACCAGTTTCCCAGTCTCGATGTTGACAGAATGAGCCACAGTATCTCGCTATTCCACAACCGCCGCAAGTCTCCAGAGCTGGTCTTCCGCAGTTCCAACAGCTCTGGAAGATTAGGCAAATTGTAAAAAATTCAGTTTTTTATTCATCAAGGCTCGGGAGGATCTTTCGAACGTTATCTCGTTTGTTTTTCCATCTTCATAATGTAAGATATAAATCACCATTTTCGTGGGATTTTACATCACGGAGGAGTCCCTAAAAATTATTATTGTGCAATAAAAAAAAATAGAAAGGAAAGTGAACATTTGCAAAGAGCCTTTTTAATGAAGATTAAAAAATAAGATAGAGGGAAAATAGTGAATGGATAATTTATCATGGTAATTAACGATCTGACAGCCTTTAGATACATCGAATTATTAATTTGCAATTTCCCCGCTATTGGGTTTATTTCTCAATATTATTCAAAAACGCTCTTTGAAAATGTTCAGCTTTTTTTCAACGTTTTTTGATTGTACAATCGTAATTTTTGGTGACTCCAGGACTATGTAAAACTGAATAGCAATTGGAGATCATTTCAGATTATCAAAATAAAAAAAAGCAACAGTGAATAAATTTTAAATAAGAGTTGAATAAAATTTGGTCAATCAAATTGAACTTACGGATCCCATAACATTGAGATTCACTCCTTCTTTCTCGTCTTCGCCGGAATTGGAGGTCTTGGAGATTGTTTCTGTAGCATTGTGACCCCCAAGCCTGAGGAATGAGCCCTGTCGCATGGCTCCGTGCCCTCGTTGGGCTAGTGGTATGTCCAGGAGGTGCTGAACTCTCATTCTCTCACTCGCACGAGATTCGGCCACTGCGGCAGCCACTGCTCGCTGGACCTCTACCATTGCAGTGCGTTTCACTTCTTGTACTGCTTCTTCTGATTAATGAAATAATTTTTTTTTATTTTATTAGGCATTTTTTTATGAGAAATATTTGGTACGTCAATTTACATTATGGTATTGTTGTGGAATTCTTTAAATGAATAAATATCTTCTTTTTTTCATTTAGAAGTGGGAATTAAGGAACAATTAATGGATCGAAAGATATGTGTGGCTTTTGGTTTTGTTGAATTTAACAGTTGATTCCTGTCAAACTAAAAAATGTAAATGTAGTTATAGCTCCAGGTGAATTCATTCCAAACAAATTCATCCTAAAACAAATTAATCCCACGACAAATTCATCCCAAACATCAAATTCCAATGGAATTTTTCACGGTCACAACAATGATTCAGGGAGAGAAAAATATTAACTTTATTTTATTAACTTTATTTTAGAAAAAGAGACTAAACACAACATCGAAATCAATCAGGTACTTCATGATTCCCTCCTAGAATTATTCGCAAAAATCATTATTTATCTCAACTAACACCAGATAGCCCATCAGTAATAGACCACAACATCAATTAACAAAATCCGTACAAAACTTGAAAATTAATTGACAAATTAAATTACAAAAATCAGTAATTAATTTTTGAGGACACACTAGAAGTGACTAATTTTAATGCCATGAACGACAAAATTTGATATTCGAAGTAAATATCGATTGAATAATGACGACAACACCAAACGGTCAACACTGCTAATCCGATAAGTCACGCGCTTCAGTCAAGCGTATTCTTCATGCAGAGAGTAAAAATTAAAAAAAATGGGATGAAACTCGTGAGATGAAATAATTTGGGATGAATTATCCTGAGATTAATTAACCGGGTACCTATAATTATAAATCAATTAATTTTTTTTAAATTAAGGCCCGCGTGTACTATCTTTCAAATATTATCTGGATTTTTTTATTTTTCGTAATCCAAAATTGTCAATTGAGTGGTACATCATGTAGAAATCCCCAAAAATTATAATAGAATGATAAAAAAAATAGTAAAAATTCTGAACTTTTTCAAAGAGCATTTTTAATTGAGATTCAGAATTAGTTGAAAAAAGTGGAAATTACAAATATCTGATTCGCTGTGGCAAATTATCTATTAGCTGTCATTTTCCATGGTGGATAACAAAATACTAACTCCTCATGGGAGGTGACAGCTAGGCATCTCAATTTTCAAAACAGTGGTATGTAATCATCTGCCATTTTTATGTGATAAAAGTGTGATTAAAAAATTTTCCAAAATATTACAACTTTTTTCAAAGAACCTTTCCCGTAATAAATGTCTCTGTGCAGTGTGGGAAAAGATTTACGAAATCAGTCTTCCCCCTGCATGATATTGGGTGACAGGCCACCATTTGTCACCGTAAATCAGATACATTTTTCAATTTCTTGTTATTCAATTTATTCTGAATATAAATTAAAAATGCTCTTTGAAAAAATTGAGAATTTCTTCTACTTTTTTTTGATTATTCATTCATAATTTTTCAAAACTTCTGCATGATGCAGGACTGAATTGGCAATTCCAGATGACGAAGGATGAAAAAAAACATCGAGATAACGTTCGAAAAAATCACAAAGATTTAAATTATTTCATTTTTCTGTAAGAAACCCCTGAAAACTCACCAGCTCTTCGTTTGACCTCCGTAACGACCCTGTCCTCAGTGGCTCTGATAGTCTGCGCCACAATCTCTCCGGATAAACGCTTCAAATTTCCATCGCGATCTCCACTAGACGACTCGATCTGTGTGCCATTTGTACCGGAAAGATTGTTACCATTACTGGTGCCATTCTGGGTACAAACCAATCCGGAAGCAGGTGTTGCACCAGCTGGACTGGAACACCCGCGTCTCTGCAGTATCACCAGCGCTCGTTTTGTCTTCTCCACCATACCGAGAATACAATTGAGCATAACGTGGATATTCTTCCATTCGTCATCTAAACTCGAGCCATTTTGCATTTGTCCGGGCGCGTGATTAATCTGCTGTTGCTGTTGCTGCTGTTGCTGCTGCTGCTGCTGAGGGAGATGGGGAGCTCCGAATGACGACAGCTGATTGATCTGAATGAGATTTGGGGGCACGTGGGGGTGGTGAGAGTGACCCTGAATTTGTGTCCCGGAGGAATGAAGTGGATGGTACCAGCAGTATGGGTCTGACTGCTGCTGGGGGGATGGGTGGTGGTGACTACTCCAGAGATTTGCCGAGCGCTTTCCGTAGAGTGGAGAGTCCTCACTCGCATTCTCGTAGTACCTTTAGTCCACCCACGACGTTATTAGTTGGAATATCGTGGGGATTGGGCTTTTATAAAATTGGGAAGGCTAAAAGTAGCTCTACCCTTACGGTAAATTTAAAGATTATTGAAAACTGCAAAAAAATTGCAGAAAACTCGGTTCGATTCGCAATTCTAATTTTTTTCTCAATTTAATTATCGTTTTGGTTTCTTAAAGAAGAAATGTTTAAAAATTAGGATTTAACCTAGTGTCTTATGTGAAAATTAACATTGCTATTGTAATCAATGGATGTGAAAAAATCAAGATTTTTTTATAACTCATAAAAAATAATCCACCGTTTTGCAAACAAGTTTTATTATTTATTTATAAGAGGGAAATGTTTGAAAAAATATCAACATTTTGTGAAATTTAATTTAAATTATACTGACTGGGTATGAATTTTTTCAAATTTTTCCCATGCAATTTAGTTGAAAAATTTAAAAACTGAAAATATCCAGAAGTACAGCGTAGCCCGGCCGAAGGGTAGAGCTACTTTAAGTAGGGGAAATGCTGGGATTAAGGATGGCCAAGTTAGTTCATCAAAGTCGCGAATTAAATTGCGCCAGAAAAATTTGAAAAAATCATGAATATTATTTTTTTTTAATTCGTTATTTATGAATAAATAATTGTAATTGTTTAAATTTTCGGAAACGATTTTTTTAGGCGTGAAATCGATTTCTGGTAAAGTTCGGAATATGAATAAATGTGTTGCGCGGAAAATTGCTTGTTTATAAATTGTTCGCAGGAAATGCTCGTGATTTTAAAAAATTTCAATTTTTTAGTTATTTCGTCAATTTTTCGTCAAAGTAAACTTTTCAATTTTTTCGGGTTTAAAAAATGTTTTAAAATTGTTAAAATGTTTAAAATCATTGATAAATTTCCGGAAACTTGGAGTCAAGTGGGGCTCAAATAAAAGCTCTGATGTTCGACTAAAGAAGTAGAAAAACATTTCACTGGAGAAAAAATAGCCAAAGTACTTGAATATCCTTAACTCTTCGGTTCTTACTGACGCAGGAATAAAAAAGCGCAAGGGCAATAGCAACTTTGGTAAGCCGATAGGAAAAAAATTGTTCCCCCGGAACAATATTCTCCATATTTTCCGTATTTTATTTTTATTTTTCCTTTCTTCTCGATTTTGCCATTCGTTGCTAGAAAATCGTTTCCTGGAAATTGATCATCGGAAAATTATTCCGCAAAAACAGAAATTCTTCAAAAAACTGAAAAATAGTCTCAAAATGAAAAAAAATGATAAAAAAGGTAAAACAACGGAGAAAAACTTTATTGAAAAAATTAACAAATATAAATAAACACGAAAATCGAGAGGAATGCAAGTGAACGAATCGCAAAATCGAGCAGAAAGGCAAAACAAAAATAAACTATGGGACATAGAGAACAATTTGTTGGGAAACGATTTTCCGGAAATTGATTGCAAAATCGGAAAATATCGGGAAAATTATTCCGGAGAATCGGTATCCTCCGCCGTAATTTTAAATATGCAATTATTTCGATTACGAACGATTTCCACATATAATTATATCAATACAATTGCTTCCCCCGAAATGATTATTTTCCATTCATTAATTGAGAGATGTAAAAAAAAAATGAAAATTTGGTGCGATGAGCGGCCCACTTTGTGGCTTTTGGGCTCGTGTAGCCGCAGGTGTGTTCCGTTCGTTCAATATTATGAGTTATCGCTGGTGATCGGATGAAACTTCACTCCCTGCCTCTTCACCCCAATTCCATTGGAAAACCGCGATCGCGTCGATGCTTTGAGAATTTAAAACTGAAGTACAACTCACGGTGTGTCGGAGGCTCGACGTTTCGTTGCCAAATTTGTGGCACCGTAATGATGCAGTGAACTACTGTGCGAAATGGAACTAACACTCGACGCTGTGCTGGATCGTAAGCTGTAGTTTGTCGCTGTTGATGAAGTGCCATTGGTGCTGTGGTCACCAAAGAGTTCAGCCGTGTCACTGCTCGGTGTTAGATTCACTGTCTCCAGGACGGCTGATTCGTTGGCACGGAGATATTGCACGCACGTCTGTAATTAAACGAAATGTAATTAAGGATATGCAATTACTTTCGATTTTTTCCCTCCAGTGAAATGTTTTTCTGATTGAGCCCCATTTGATCTCAAGTTTCCGGATATTTTACAGTGATTTTATTATTTTAATTTCGTAGGTCTGTATTTAAATCTGGAAATTAAACCGTTAGAAAACATTTTAGAAATTGAAAAAAAATTAGAAAGTTTACTAGAAAGATTGACAAAATAATTAAAAAATTGCAATTTTAGAAAATTACGAGCATTTTCTGTAAATAATCTAACGATATCATGAATAATTTAGTAATAATTTAAACTAATAAATTTTCCATCATAAAAATCACTTATTCGAAACCGTAATAAATTGATTCATATTCAGAATTTTACGAGAAATCGATTTCATGCCTAAAAAAATAAGCTTTCCGAAAGTTTAAACAATTAAAACAATTAAACACAGTTTTAATAATTAAATTTTAAGTTTAAACAATTTCAATTGTTTAAACTTAATTAAATTTTGAAATTGTTTTTGGAATTAAACAATTTCAATTGTTTAAACTTAAAATTTAATTTGAATAATGCTGAATTCTCATGATATTTTTCGAATTTTTCTCACGCAATTTAATTGACAAATGGAATCTAGAGTCGAATTAATACTCGGACACCTTTAAGCCCGAACAGTACGTAAAAGTAACAGATCGAGATGAGATTCGCGAAAATCTAAGTAATGAAATCCGTCAATGATTGAATATTCCAGTTGCCGAAGTATGCTAATTGCTGGAGTAATTGAAAAAGTGTCGGTAAGAAAAAAAATTCTGACGGTTGGGGGACTTTTAACTGTGCGCCATTACAATCAGTTTCATTTTTAATATTCGCCCTGGAGTTTCTTTATCGAGCTACTCCTTTTCTTTTCGCCTTCATGCCTCCCTCAACTCGGTTTTTTTCCCCTCACCAAACGCCAAGTCGCCTTGGCAGCAATGCGATTTATCGTTGCTAATTCAATTCTAGAACTCTCTGTTTTCTTTGAAATCCCCTCCCACCCGCGAATCAGACCATAATTAACGAATATCCGACCGATAAATTGTATTTTCGTTGATGAATGGTTGGCATTCTGGTATTTATGAAATTTTGTTGCGAGCGAGTTGAGAATCTCAAGGGAACTAGGAAAATGCAAATTGATACTATTAATTTGCAATTCGTTATAGTGAGAGTTGGCGTTTCGTTTCCTTACTTCAACGCGACAGATGGCAACATCTTAGGTGGAGGTGTGCATGTATATACAGCTCAGAAATTCGTCTGGTAACAGATTTTACATATATATTTTTTAATTTTTATAAATACACCATTTCTTGTTTTTTTTTTCAACAAACTCTGGAGATTTTCCGTGGAAATTAACAAGAAGTTAGAAATGAAGGGAAAGTTTCCGATGCGCTACAAATTAAATAATATTAATTGCAAAAATTTACGCGTAAATGTCACACTGAAATAACGTTATTAAAAATATTAAATTAAGATACTAAATAAACCCAAGAGTCCATCCAATTTGTTCAGTAAATTTTTCTTGGAAACTAATATTGTAAATAACAAATATAAATAATACACTGAAAAAAAAATTGAATTAAAAATAAATAAAAAACAAAACAAATACGTGAACTAAATAACGAATAAAAACTCATTTACGGTGGGAAATTAAACGAAAATAAAGTAATAATAATGTAAATAATTCATAAGATTCATTTGTAATAATGATGTTGTATTTTGGTTTTCCCTTAGGGGGTATTTGCAGACATAAGGGATCTACAAATATTTATTGAAAAATATTTTCACAATTAAAAAAAATACCGTAGTTTTTAATTAAACCAACAAATTTTTAATTTGTCAGTTCAATTATTAAATATAATATTTTCTAAATATTATGTTTAATTTATTAGTATTTTAATTTTCAATTTATTGAAAATAAAAAAAATTTAATTCATAAATTTTTAGTTTCTTACGCTTCTATCCTACAGAAGCCGTTATTTCATCAATATATATATATAGTTGAATTCAGCATCTCGCGCGTTCATCCATCTTCAAGGCATACAGACGGATTTTCTGCTGTGTGTGCCGTGTGCTGACGGCACTGGCTGTGCACAGGGGGTACACCTCCACTCTGGGAAATTAAAACAAGCTGCCAGCCGGTCGGCCATGCTCTGTTGATTTTGCTTCGGTTCTCTTATAATATATACCCCTCTCTCCTCTCGCATACTCTATGTGGCGTTTGGGATTGCCTTCTACATCATCTGTGAATTTCTTCGAGTACCAATAAAGATGGCAATTTTTTTTTTAAATAAAACTCGATAAGGCCCGCACGCCTCGCGCATAATTCAGTTGGTAATTCGTTGCATTTTTTATTATTTCATTTATTTTTGAAAATAATAAAAGTAATTGTGACGTATTGGGATCAACCAATACGTCGATTTTTTATTCTTTCATTTATTTTTGAGAATAATCAAAATAATTGTGACGTATTGGCATCGACCAATACATCGATTTAGCTGCCCTCCTATGGTGACCAAACTAGGGTTAAGAGGTAACGGAAGCCGTCGAAAAGAGCATATTGTGTTCACGCTTTTCTCTGATTCTATTCCATAAAAATGGCTGAAATTTTCTCCACATACTGAGGGAAGCATGTGGGAGGGTATATAACCCTCCATTTTTTTATTTTTGCAAAAAAAATTGTTATGAAAAAAATTGCAAAATTTTCTCTTATATATGAAGGGTTACAAACCCCCCCCTTTTGCTTCCCTTAATAAGTGGTGAAAATCTCGGCCATTTATATTGCATAGAATAAAAGAAAACCTTGAACATAAATAAGTTTATTTCAACGGCTTCCGTTACCCCTTAAGGGGAAACGGAACCCCTGTGTCGATATCAACTTTTAGAATTACGTTTTCTCCTTCAATTATCAATTTTTATCTATGAAACTACTTTATCGACTCAATCATTGGATTGTTGAGTCAATGAAGTAGTTTCATAAATAAAAAATAATAATTGCAGGAGAAAACACAATTCTAAAGATTCATATAAACGCAGGGGTTCCGTTTCCCCTTAAGCCATACAATCGGGTCAAAGTCCCAAGTTTGAGTCGCGGACAATTTAGCAACGTGTTATACCACCCACCTTGATCATTACTGTGTATCAATAACTAGCTTAATAGATCATCCCTTTAAGTATTGAGCACGCGAGTGGTTATTGAGAACGTCACCCTTTATATCCTTCGTCCAACATCCCTCCGAGTGAGCGAATCCCCCTGAGCTCACCACCGAAGCTAGTCGAGGTCGGAGTGACAACCAAACACATACAAAAGGTTACAGTGCAGAAATAAAAATAGTGAAAAGGACTTTCATTGCGTTTTACCTCCGGGTAAAACGCCCCAAACGTCACAGTAATACATAGTTTGACATCACAAGATATTTTCTAATTATATATTATTAATATCAATTATTATATTGTTTATTTATATATTTCCTTGACAATATATAAATAAAAAAATATAATGAATATAATTAATTTAAAAAAAAGATTAATTATATTTAATTAAATAAATATATTAATCATTAAATTATTATCATATTATTAATCAAACATAATTAATTAGAATTAATAATTGCCCCCTGGGGTTCCAATAATTCTAAATTAATTCATTAAACTCGCACGTCCTCAATAAAACCAAATCAATCCCCTCCACTCTTCAAAGATAAACCCACATCAAATGATGAAGAGTATCATGGTCAGTCACGGAATACAAATACGAGATAATCCCCAACGCAGCCCTGTGACCATTGGGATTCCTCCGCCGGAGGGACCGATATTGGCACAAGAATCTCAATCGAATTCCCCCTAACCATTTCGGATATAACTTCCTATCGACATATATCCATTTCTTTTTTTCTCTCATCTCTTTCCCTTTAACGTATCTTGCGCGTACTCCTTTCCACCCGCTTCCCCCCCTCTGCCCCCCAGCGGCTCCCGAGCCGGATATCCGGGCCGTGTGCGAGAGGACGCAGATGTTGGAGGATTGGCGCTCGTTTAAAACCGCTAGTCGAATTCGAATAGCGCGGTACACCCCTCCCTCCTCAACATCACCTCTGGCGCACACCCGTGTGCAGGCAACGAATGTTGAGAATAAAAGTCCTATATTCTCGCGTGTACTGCACATGTGTGAGTTGTATTTACGCGCCGTTTTCACGCTGCACCACGCGCCCTGCAACAATCGCTTACTGTGATTTATCACCGTACTCGTCGGTCTAATAAACCAAACGGCTTGTAGAAGAGGTATGGGGCGGAAGTGCCTCCGTATATCCCCGGTGTTATGGGACACCATTACTCGTTGGGAATATATATTACCCAACAACTGTCTACTTTCAATGACAAAATTTTCCAATTACCTGTTGTCATCGATTCATTAAAATAACGGTCAGGTAATGCAGTGGGGGGGTGTTGGGGTGGGTTATTGGTCATTTTTGGCTCGAATGAATGCTTTGTAAGCGCTCGAATTTAAGTTTCCAATTTTTTGTGGTGGGGTCATTAAAGTAGCTCTACCCTTACGGTAAATTCAAAGATCATTGAAAACTGCAAAAAAATTGCAGAAAACTCGATTAGATTCGGCATTCTAATTTTTTTCTCAATTTAATTGTTGGTTTGGTTTTTCAAAGAAGAAATGTTTAAAAATCAGGATTTAACCCAGTGTCTTATGTGAAAATCAACATTTCCGTTGTAATCAAAGATTAAAATCTGAATTTTTTTTCATTAGAGTCGAAAAAATCAAGAATTTTTTTGACACCTCATAACAAATAATCCACAGTTTGCGAACAAGTTTTATTATTTATTTATAAGAGAGAAATGTTTGAAAAAATATCAATATTTTGCGAAATTTAATTTAGATAATACTGACTGGGTTTGAATTTTTTCAAATTTTTTCCATGCAATTTAGTTGAAAAATTTAAAAACTGAAAATATCAAAAAATACAGCGTAGCCCGGCCGAAGGGTAGAGCTACTTTAAATGGGGTTTATAAAGGCCGAACATGCGATTTTTAAACGGTCCATTTATGAATACAGTAGCGAAGTGGTCAAACGGTTTAAGTCAATTTAGTCTTCAGTTGAGTTTTCCAGAAATATTTCCGAATTTAAGGGAGATAGTGAAATTTTTGTAATAGGGGAGGTTGGGGTAAAATGGACACTTGACTTTTTTTTAATGTTAATGACGGGTTGAAATGTTGATAGAATTTAAGAATTTTTTTTTTCATTGCAAAGAACAATTGTTTCCCTTTGTGATGAGCCTAAACTGAGCTCAATTGATAAATTCGTTTCTNTGTAATAGGGGAGGTTGGGGTAAAATGGACACTTGACTTTTTTTTAATGTTAATGACGGGTTGAAATGTTGATAGAATTTAAGAATTTTTTTTTTCATTGCAAAGAACAATTGTTTCCCTTTGTGATGAGCCTAAACTGAGCTCAATTGATAAATTCGTTTCTGAGTTATGAATAATTTCAAAAAAGTCTAAAGTGTCCATTTTACCCCACCCTCGCGTAGCCTTTTTTGTAGAGCGAATTGAGTGCTACTAAAAAGGTTATGAGAAAAATTTTCCTATCTCCCTTAGATTTCGAGATATTCATTGAAAACTGGCCAATAGCCAAAATCGACTTAAACCGTTTGACCACTTCGCTACTGAATAATAAATGTTCATTAACATATCGGGGCGAGATGAGTGAAATAAAAGGAATGTAAAAAACGACAAGATGCGTTCACGGAATGGAAACGAAGATAAAAGAGATAAAGATCGAATATTAAGAATATTAAGATGGTTCAAATAACAATAGCCATTCTTTTGAATGCTGAGACTTTTTTACATACGCTTGAATTTTTGTAGATTTTTCCTAATGATCTGTGATAATTAGGAAACATAACATTGAAAAAGAAGCTCAAAAGCCGAATATGGCTTACGAGTTTTAGGCAAGCTTCGAAAAATCTAAAAAAATTCAGGGCTATTGTTTAACTAGTATATACTTCTGACGAAGTTGCAGAGTAATCTAAAATGTACTCACGAGGCAATATTACGGTTTTCCATGGAATGGTATCAAAGGAAATGATATTTTTCCACAAATCGATTTTTCAACGATCACCCAAAAAATTGTCATTGAAATGGAATGAGTCATGGCTCAAAAAATTGATAATAATACCCTCTTGATTCTATCAGAATATTATGGGGATCGCACAATTCGTTGTTGAGTTACAGCACATTGTTTATGCGATTTGAAAGAGAAAATCGGTTTTTTCATGATTACTGAAAGAATCATCAGTAATAGCAATTAAATGAGGACTTGAAAAGTATGTTTCAATGGCTTCTTAATCAAGTTGAAAAATGATGAGAACAGCATCAAGTTACAGAATACCGTTATGAGCTTTCTATATAAACGAGAACGATCGCGCGTGTTAAAGACAAATCGTGACACGGAAGCCGAAAGCCGACCAAAGTCGAACAGGTGCGGGCGGATCCGAATGTTCGACCAATGAAATTCGAGGAATGAGCGTTACGCTACAGCTTACGGCGTATGTTCTTTTTAGAATAGGAAATCTCTATCTCTATTAAACACAGGTATCAGTCTATTATGTTGAATACTTATTCATATTAATTCATGCTCCCGACTAACTTCTGATCGAACCTGGGTTAAACTCTGGCTAAATCCTGAATAAACCCTGATTAAATCCCGGCTATACACTGATTAAACCTTGATTGAACCTCGATTAAACCCGGACTGAAAACGAATTCGAGTCTCGAGAGGGTCTGAATGTAGAATTATTCGACAGAACGAAATAATACGCAAAATCTTGATGACATTTCAATTGACGATAGCACTGTGACCTGAAAAAATAGACGAAGAGAATAGTGAAATAAGAATTAAAAAAAGAGAACCCATTCGGAAGCAAATTGCTAATTTATTAGCAACAATAACTATTCCCATTCATCTAAAAAAATTGCAATTATCCACTTGTTTTAAGTGTGATAAGAGATGGGTCTCTCCTTTAATGCGAGACTACTGAGATTTTATGGGTGGAAATAACGAAATTACCACGGCAGTTTTGGGCTTTATGTATTATGTAGAAGACAAGTTCGTGTTGGTACCAGTAATTTTGGCTTGTAGCAGTGGTGGTTCTTAGATTTATAGCCCATGCTGGCTGTTTCTAATAAACTATACAGTACCTTATGGGTCAACCTGCGGTGTAATTATTGTTATGGGATAAGAAAATCTTTAAAAAATTATCTGCATGATAACGGAACGATAATAGAATGTCTCATTCTACCTGATTATTGGCTCTCGCTGCTGTATTGAGGTTTCGTCTGAGGGAGGGAAGTGTGTGTCTGAGATACGGGAGAACAAAATCTCGGAGGGGAAAATTCGTTGCTTCTTGGAGGGCTGAGTGAAACTCCTCAGCCGTCATTGCTCCACTCTGGAAAATCAACATTACAAAATTATCCATTATCCATTACATAATTGATAAAATCGATTGAAATTCTTAAAAACAATTTCAATTATTTATTTATAAACAACGAATATTTAAAGTAATAATAATTCTATCCAAAATGTAATTCGAATAACGCTGAATATTCATGACTTTTTTTTCAAATTTTGTTCACGCACTTTAATTAATAAATTAAAATAACAAATTAATTAATTAATAAATAGTAATTAATTGGGTTATTAATTAATCGACTTATTAATTAATTGACATTGATATTAAATAAGTTAATAAACAAATTAATTAATAAGTCGATTAATTACTATTTATCAATTATTAATTAATTTTAATTATTTCTGATGATTGAAAACGGTCGAATCTACAGTCATCTCTGCCAAACTGTAAAAACACTTGAATCCCCTTAATATTACCAATCAGCGGCGGTCAATTGCGCAATTTCTCTTCAAATTTGTTTTCCCTCCTATTTTCTTTTTATACCCTGAGCTCTCTCCCCCGAGGGGATGCTCATCGAGTGATTTGTCCCCCACCCCGCGGGGCGCCTGATGGCTGACCCAGACTGTCATGCACGCACGTGTGTCTACATATTCTCAAAGAGGCACTTTGTGTAGCCAACAAAAGCCGGCGAAGCGCCGTTTCTTTGCCTGCGTTCAATAAAATATCTCATTCCCTCCCCCCCCCGCGCGATTTTTCCTGAATTATTTTTGAGATGAAAATTTCAAGACGAAGATCTCACCAAGAGGCCAAACACGAAGCACCTCACTGTATCACCGGTCTCCGTTGATATATTATTAGCGAATTGCACCAGAGTCCCGAGGAGCCTCTTGAGCTTGGCGTGACCCGCGAAAACGCTGGAAATACACCTGAGACCACCACCATTCAGAACTACTCCATTGGTGCTGGTGGTGGTCGTTTCGGTCGATAGTTGCGGTGGTGCAGATGGTGGTTCCTCGTGTTTTCCAATGCCCGGCTCGTCCTCCGGTTTGATTGAGTGCGACGAGACGGGACTATCATTTCCCGAAGAGCCGCCGGATAATTGGCGAGAAAATTCCGGGTTGCCGTTGATGCCGGACGGGTGGGAGAGTTTTGACTTTTGCGAGTGAGGGGATGAGCGGTTTTCTTTGGCCGAAAGCTCGGAACCTCTGTCGTCGCGAGGTGGGGCCGTTGGTGTGCCTGGAATAAATATTTAGGTGAATTTTTAATTATTCCGGGGCATCTTACGCGATATGAATATTCCCACTGGGACTTGCAGTTTTTTTTCTATAAAAAAACATTCATTCCGTAAATATTCCCATTCGAATCGATAATCGTGGTGTAGGAGATATACATAATTATTTATAAATTTACATTAATGTTTTGTTAGTGTTTTTTCAGAATATTTTCGTTTTTTAACGGTGGAAAGTAATTTTAGTTATGGATTTGTAAGGATACCTATAAATATTAACCTTAGCTATTTACAACTATAGTTTATAGTTAAAAGTATTGTCAATTCAACTCTGTTCATATAGTTATGGCTATATTAATGTCTATGGGTAGAGTTAAATTATAACCGAATACATCGGTGACAGAAAACGTTACATGATTTTTTTCAACGGCAATTTAGTATTAGAATTTACTATTATTTGTCTCATTAATATTATAAATATTAATATATATAATAATAATTATTATATAATAATTATACAATTATATATAATAATATATGTGGATTATTATTATATAATAATTATACAATTTTATCATGAAGAATTTTATAATCTACAAAAAAATATGGTTTAACATTTGGTTGTGAACTCACTAGTTTTGAAGATATTGTTGCATAATTGTTCCTTTTGTATCTTTTATTCATTGTTCTTTTCGCCCATTTTATTTAATAAATTCATTTTTTTATTTAAACTGTAACGTATTTAACGTAATATAATTACGTATATATAATTGTATAATTATTATATAATAATAGAGTTGATTCCCACAAAATCCCAAAGAATTAAGAATGACCGTGACGTGTGCATTGATTCACACATGTCTTTATACATCGCGCGTGAACTATTCCTCGTCTACCTTCTCCCCCCACTAACCAACAGAATTCCATCCGGTGGATAACATGCAATTACGGCTCGTGTCATCCACCTTGTCTTGTTCACTATTCTCTCCACCATACAGTGCGCGTTATTGTCAGTGCAGAAATGCCGCCGGCTCCAGTGATATCTGCTGCTATAATACACATCAACAAAAATTGTTCTGGAAAATAGTGATACGAGAATAACAATATTTCAGTGCTATAAATATTGAAAGTCGATTGGACAATTTGATTTTTTTTAAATTTCTGCATGGTGGATAAAGGCGTAAATAGTTTTGGGGAGGGAATAGGTTTACAAATGGTATCTTGCGCATTTTTTTTATCATTCACAGTTTTGCAGAAAATTTAACCAATCTCCCCCTCCCCCCCTCCGGCCTTGTAGCGCCTCGCTACATTCTAACATGCGAACACTGGCTACACTTATAGAATGATTCATTTATTCCAAACGAGATTCGTTAACTATTAACGAATGGTAGAGTTGAATATGACCAAATGAATATCCGTTAATAGTTAATGAATGGTTCACTTGAATGTCGAAAGTCAAGTCAAACGAGGCTCCTCAAATATACATTCGTTAACTATTAACGAATGAACATTTGGTGGGACCGAATAGACCCTAACCTCCAACCAAAATCCATTCGTTAACAATAAATAATCCGTTCTATCAGTGTAACTACGAGCACAGGCATTTGCTGTCTCACTCGCACCTTCAGTGCCACGCGTATTCTTTTCTGATTCGTCAAACCGTAAGGATATTCGGCAGCCTCGCTGACACCTCTCCGTGCGAATATAATTCAGTCTAGGAGTACAGCTCGTATCGCACACTTGATCGGATCATATTATTTTCCCTTCACCTTTGTATTAATTTGACGCGGATAATAAATCTGTAAGTATTAGTTTAATTGCATTTGTTAGTGGATTGTTACCTTCCCGACCACACCTCAATCCCTACACCCCCCCCCCTCCCCCCGTCTCTCTCTCTCTCTAATGTAACATCATTCCACTCATTTACAACACGGAGAAAAAAATTGGAAAATAATTAGCAAACAAGTTGAGTAGTTGTGAAGTGAACTCGATTTTCAGTACTTTTTCACAATATATCACGGAAAAAGTGCGAGAAGAATAGTGAATTTTTCGCCGTTGACCCTTGAAAGTTTACTGAACGTGATGGTAATTTGTGCCGAAACTGTTAATTTGTGCCGAAAATCTAGCCTGCATTCCATAAAAAAATTCAGACATTGGCATAATCATAAATTTCAATTAAAGTTAAATTTTGAATAATTCGATATTGTCAATTATTTAGTTCATAATGAATTGAAATAACCAATTATTATATTATTCTTCAAATTTCAATGAAGATAAGTAAACCTCAATATTACTAAATTAGTGATTGATGCCGATCCACGCAGAAATTATCGCAGCGAACGTCAATCATTGCTCAATGTTGCGTATAATTTTCGTTCGCGTTCGTAAAATTTCAATTCAATTCGATTCAGTTTCTACAATACCCTATCGATGTGGGAAATTTTACTGAACAGGAAGATAATTTTTGCATCCACAGATGTTTTTTTTCACCGAACGAATCGTAAAATATCCTCCACAATAGTATAAAAACGTTGTTTGACCCTTGGGAGGGTAGCACACACCCCCCACGGGTCAAAAAACACTTTTCCCACGAGTATCGAGCCCCATTTTCCATCACAATGTGTGGAAACTGCCATTTTGCGCACGAGCGCTGAAAACAGCAATTTTTCTATCGCACAGTAAAATTTGCCCCGATTTTCAAGATAATTTCTATCCAACTGTTTCCTCCGCGCAATGATTTATTCTCCCCCATTCAATAGCAACAATTATTTGATTTTCCACCGAAAAAATTACCTCTCGCCCGCAAAAATTTCAATGAAAAAAACGCGAAAAAAGGAAAAAAAATAGAAACCAAACGGTACAAAGTGAAACGAAACACAGGGGAGGATCGATAAGTCGCACGTGCTCTCGCACGGGCACAACTGAGAGTCTCTGTGAGAGGAAGTAAGTACGGTGGTGGGACTCAGCTGTCGCCTCCTAATTGCTGGGACAATGCAACAGATGGCTTTGATCGCAATTCCTTCCCACCGCCCACACTCTTTCTTCCAATTTATCCACCTCTCCTTTTTCACCTCTTGTTCCCAGTATAATCCTGCTAATTCGTTTGACAAGGTGAAGGAGCAAAACTTTGGATTCTTCAGAGAGTACTCTTTTATAATAATAGAGAATTTCCCGGGAATTAATTATTCAACTTATTTCAATTTTCTCGGACAAGTTTTGAGGTGGTCGTTTGTTGGAGAAAATTTTCCTATCTCGGCCAAGTTTTTCCATACATGGACATCAAAATATATAGGGGTAAATAATTATTTAAGATTTTTTCTTCAGTGAGATGCTTTTCTACTTTTGTAGTCGAGCCTCACAGCTTTCATTTGAGCCCCATGTGACCCTAAGTTTCCGGACATTTTCCAAAGATTTTATTATTTAAACTTTGCAGGTCTGAATTTAAATCTTGATATTGAACTGTTAGAAAACATTACAAAAATCTGAAGAAATTTTAGAAAGTTTACTTTTGGAGGAAGATTGATGAAATAATTAAAAAGTTGCAATTTTCGAAAATTATGAGCCTTTTCTATAAATAATTTATAAACAATCAATTTTCTACCATAAAAATCATTTGTTCGGAATCGTAACAAATGTATTCATATTCAGAATTTTACCATAAATCGATTTCATACCTAAAAAAAGGTTTCCGAAAGTTTAAACAATTTCAATTATTTATTTATAAACAACAAATGTTTAAAAAATAATAATTCTATGCAAAATGAAATTTGAATGACACTGAATATTCATGATGTTTTTCAAATTTTTTTCACGCAATTTAATCAATAAATTAAAATAAATTAAATAAATATAAATAAATTAAGGCAATTTGATTGACAAATTTGATGATTGAAAATAGTTGAATCTATAGTGTGGTCTGTACCAAACCGTAACAGATACTTGGATATCCTTAAGGCTAGAGCTACTTTAATCTGCCAATCCTGCGGACTCCACCTCGGAGCAGTCGGGTTTGCTCACCTGATTTAACGATACGAACCTGCGCTTTATCGCCCGGAGGCAGCCGAGCTAAGCTGACATCTTTAAAACACGTGGGGGATCGAGGGTGGCACTGTCTACAGCAGTCATGCATGCATGCCTAGCATAGGCCTTCAACTCGGGATATCCAAGCGCGACGCATTCCACACGCCAGCCGGGGCTAAAGGGTGAAGGCTGAGGGGGGGGGGAGGGGGGTATGCAGTATCGTGAAATAGGTAGTAGTCAGTGGCTCGAGGATATCCTGGATATGATATCAGCCGTGAGCCAGGGATTCTGGGTGGGAAGTGTTGGACGTGCCTTATCGCGTCTGGACCAGGCAGTCAGGCAGCGGCGAAATACACGAGAGCGAGAAAGGGGCCAAATGTTGCAACTAAACACTTCCCCCCTCATCGCCTCGCCTCGCCACCCCCCCCTCCCCCGGACTCCTGACAGACTGCTTCGTTGCTTTTAGTTTGCGTATACATAATACCCTCTCACCACTACACCCCCTTCGTTTCACTTTAATCTCAACGTTTGTATTGTGTACATCGCCGTCGTCTTTACGGCTGCGAGCTACCGGTTTATGCTGCACACTTTCACGCATCGCGGGGAGAGAACATTTTTTGGCTCAAGGAGTTTAGGGGAGGGCAGGGCAAAATGGACCAGGCGGGCTAAACGAACCGCACACACGGAGAGAAATTTTTTAGAAAAATTCTAGGGCTTGCACGGGAAAAGAGGCGCAAAGTGACGGCCAGGAAAAAATTCCAGCGCCGGCACTAGAAATTTTATTGGGGAAAACGTGAATTTTTCCCTGTATTTCTGTGAAAATTTCACAGAAATCCCCAGAAATTTTACCAGAAATACCATGAAATTTTACCTTAACAGCACTAGAATTTTTTACATCTGGTGGATTGTGATTTTTTCCAGTACTAATTTTTCTAGAAATACAAGAACAATAATTTTTCTAGAAAATTTCTCTCCGTGCACGCACTGAGAAAAAAATGTTTTTGCCAAATGTTTATTTCATTGAGAGAAGCATTCATTTTTTCAAAATCGTATTTCTCCAATCGAGTTATTCCCAGACGTGCCTGATTAGGTTTCAATTGTGATAATCATGTTGCTCTGGAGGATGAACTTCTCAAATGATTATTCATTTTTCCGAAATTTCTAATTTTCTACAGAGAAGAATTTCAATTAATTTTTTAATATTTGTAATTATTGAAGGGGTTCAGTCAAGGTTATAACTGACATGATCATCTAGAGCAATATAATTGTGATAATTTAAACCTCATGAGAATTGCCTGGGAATGACTCGACTGGAAAGTACGGTATTGAAAAAATAAATACTTCTGTCAAGTAAATGGATAATTGGAAAAGATAATTTTTTTTCTCAGTGCGGAGACAAATGTTCAGGGAAAATTACGGAACGCTCTGGAAAAATTCCGTGATTTTAGGTAAAAATTACGTGACAGTTCCAGAAAATTTCTTGCAACCATTCCATTCCATTTGCATTTGGAAGCAAAAACTAAAAAAATCAATTTTGTTGTTGATCTCCAGGTTCATAAATTTTTAATTAGGGGTCAAGGGAAAATTTGGAGAAATAATATACCAACGTTCGTTGATTTGTCGTAGATGCGACGTTTCGCTAAACATTTTAGCTTCTTCAGGCTCTCGAAAGAAATTATCAAATCAAGGATCAAATTGTTGAAAAACAATACCTCGACGTACTCAACGGAAAAAAAATTGGATTATGGGGTTTAAGAGGTAACGGAACCCGTCGAAAAGAGCAGACTTTGTTCACGCTTTTCTCTGATTCTATTCAATAAAAATGGCTGAAATTTTCTCCACATATTGAGGGAAGCATGAGGGAGGGTATGTAACCCTCAATTTTTTTATTTTTGCAAAAAAAATTGTTATGCAAAAAATTGCAAAATTTTCTCTTATATATGAAGGGTTACAAACCTTCCCTTACACGGAGAGAAATTTTTTAGAAAAATTCTAGTGCTAGCACGGGAAAAGAGGCGCAAAGTGACGGCCAGGAAAAAATTCCAGTGCCGACACTAGAAATTTTATTGGGGAAAATGTGAATTTTTCCCCGTATTTCTGTGAAAATTTCAGAGAAATCCCCAGAAATTTTACCAGAAATACCAAGAAATTTTACCTTAACAGCACTAGAATTTTTCACAGCCGGTGGATTGTGATTTTTTCTAGCACTCGTACTAGAATTTTTCTAGAAAATTTCTCTCCGTGTATGCTTCCCTTAATAAGTGGTGAAAATCTCGGTCATTTATATTGCATAGAATAAAAGAAAAGCTTGAACATAAATAAGTTTATTTCAACGGCTTCCGTTACCCCTTAACATAAAAAACTTGGAAGAGTGAATTTGGTCTCGGGAAAAACCCCGAAATCCAACAAAAAACTATTAAAAAAATAAAAAATAATCAATTTTCTGTCAGTGGTCCGTTTTGCCCTGCCCTCCCCTACCTGTGCAGGGATTTTTTTGCTGGATGCAATCGAGTGGAGCCGCTTGCGGGTGATAAGGAGTGAATGAGAATATTATGACGGAGGGCGGGGGGAAAACTGCGGAGGGGGGACTTGGTAAATGGAACCTGCGGGCTTCGGAGGACAGATAACCAGATCCAGTATAAATGTAGGCGATTTGAGGAAGAATCGCGGGGCATTGGGGTATACGGGCGCCGGCATGCAGTGTATTCCACGTGTAAACTGACGTACGATTTCAAGCGTCGGTGGATGCGCCAATGATCAAGCTGGGAGGGATCTCCACGGGTTTCTTAGGGGGTTTATTGAGCCGGTGGGGTTGATTAATTCAAATGCATCTTTTTCGTGTTTTTTTTTTATTGGGAATGGAAGCCAAATTTAAGTCTGGTAGGGTAATTAAATGTGATGTAAAAAGTCGCATTTGCGATTTTTAAATGGTGTCTATTATTCATTTATTTAAGCTTTTATTTTATTTTGTTTTCATTATTTTTCATTTCTATGACGTAATTTTGATCAGATATAATAGAAAAAATGCAAAGAGAGATCATCAACAAAAAAACAGAAAAGTGGATTTTTCGATGTCCCCGGAAAATGCTAAAATTGAGATTTTTTTTTTCAATTCTATGAAAATTTCTATAGAATCGTTTTTTATTATTGCAGTTCGATAAAATACATTGAAAAAATACCAAAGAGGGTGAATCGAAGATGAAAAATTTATCGGATTATTATATAGAATTTATTTATTTATTCACTTATTTATTTATTTATTTATTTTAAAGGCGATTAATGGCCGATTTTGCGTAACGTCAGCCGTGGATGACTGCGGACTGCGCTCGTTGGTTAATTTATTGTATTATGATGTTAATTTACACTAGAGAAAATAGTTTTTACAGTGACGAAACACGATGAAGACTAAATTTTAATCGAAATGGCGCGATATTTAACCATGAGATAGTACGGTTTTTGCTGTGTCCAAAATCCCATGATTCCATCTCATAATTAATTATTCTGGTGACGTGAACCATCATCCTAATTTATTTTAAGCTTATGCGGTCGTTTTTCTTCATTTTTCTTCATTTTTTTGAAATTCTCTTACAAGGGATCAATCGAATTTCATGATTTTTTTTCATGAATATCGACTTTCATAAACTCTATGCATTCACACCCGTTAAAATTTCGATGACATTTTAATTGATGATAGTACTGTGACAAAAAATAGAAGAAAAGAATATTGGAATAAGAATTAAAATAACAGAATCCGCCCGGAAGCAAATTTCTAATTCCTTAGCAACAACAGCTCATTCATAAAAAAATGCAGTTGTCCACTTTTGTTTGTGTGAATAATATTCGAATGAGGAAAAAAATATGCATATGAGGTATTCCATGCCATGGTCGTGAAAAATGGAAAATTTTGCCCCCTAATAAATCGAAATCGGATGAGTAGAACTCGAGTTATTGTAAAAAAAAACGAACAATTTGAAAACAAATATCTCCGAACTGGCCTGTCAAAAAAATCTTAAAAAATTTGAGAGATAGTGTTTTAAGCCCCCCAATCGTAGAAAAAATCGCCATCAATTTTCAAGAGGGTGAGGGTCAGCCGTTGACTCATTTTTCATGGAACAGCTCATATGTATATTAAAAAATATTGACGACCAATGGCTCATTATCACTGAAAATAAATTTAATTGTCACTTACGCTTACTTTTGACATCCAAATCGACAGGTTCAACGCCATTGTGCACGGAACTTGTGGATGATGGGACTTGGCAAATGACACTTGAATTTTGGTGAGTACTTGTTGGGGAAGTTGCCTCGTTCGCTGATGAGTTTGAGCCCGTTGAAGGTAGATGATTGGAAAGGTTGGGTATGCTGTTTGAGTTTGTTGTTGAAGTTGTTGTGATTGTGTTTGCACTTCCACCAACCACTGGTACAGCCATTGTCGTTAGTACTTGACTTTCCACCGGTGAGCTTTGCTGCTGATAATTGCATTCTTTCGTCTCCTCCTTTACCTTGACCTTGGGATGAATTGTGACTGGGGGAGCCGATCCCTCGGCTTTCATAATCGTTATTTTCACTCCTAAACAAAAAATAATAATCAACGCAATTAATTAACTTCACTTATTCATTTAATTTCACGTTCAATGAAATTTTCATTCACTTCGCCTCGGGAATTTTTTATATTTCCGTGTGATTTTTTTCCATTAATGGTCAGTTTCAATTTAAATAACTGGGGAAACTGGTGCAACGAATGGTGAAAAGAATTTTGATTGATAGTCGGTAATTGGATTTTTTACTCCATCTATTTTTATTAAATATAGAAAGAAAGTTTCTTCGAGAAAAGAAAAATATCATTAAAAATGCAACGAAACTGTCACGAGCCACCTAGGTTCTCACCCTTATCCCCATCACTTCCTTTATTTCATGTAATCGTTCGGTGCTGTACCTTTCCAATTACCAAGCTTAAGATTTTAAAAGTGCACTGAGCGCTGTGTCGACAGCGACTGTGGCACGACACTTTTTTTCCTCAAGTTTTTTTATTCCATTCTGGGGGAGAAATTGAAATTTCAAACGAGATTTTCTTCAACTGGAGAAATTGCTAATTTATTCTCTATCTTTTCTTGCCTTCTCTCATGGGGGTTATCAGGAGTATAGGCGTAATTGATGTAATGATTATTTTGCATTTTTTACATAGTTATTTCACTATTCCCTTCTATTTTTTCATGTCATAATTCTATTATTAGTTGAAATGTCATCGAAATTTTACGTATTATTTCGTTCTGTCAAATAATTCTTCATTCAGACCCTCTCAAGGCTCGAATTCGTTTTCAGTCCGAGTTTAATCGAGGTTTAATCAAGGTTTAATCAGTGTATAGCCGGGATTTAATCAGGGTTTATTCGAGAGATAGATATTTTATAATAAAAAGGTCATGACGGTATTGTGTAACTTGATAAGCAATGATGCTGTTCTCACCATTTTTCAACTGGATTAAGAAGCCATTGAAATATACTTTTCAAGCCCTAATTTAATTGCCATTACTGATGATTCTTTCAGTGATCATGAAAAAATCGATTTTTTCTTTCAAATCGCATAAACAATGTGCTGTGACTCAACAACGATTTGTGCGATCCCCATCATATTCTGATAGAATCAAGAGGGTATTGATCTCAATTTTTTGAGCCATCACTAATTCCATTTTGATGACAATTTTTTGAATAATCGTTGAAAAATTGATTTTCGAAAAATATCAATTTTTTAAAATCTGTATGAAAAATTGAATTTTAATTGTGTCAATGAATTGAACTCATTAAAGTCTATATTCATGAAAAAATTCATCGAGTTTGTTACCCGCTATAAGCCAATTTCGAAAAATTGACGTTGTACTTTACGGGGCAAAACAGGTTGGGCCCAAAAATTATCTTAATTTTTTCAATTACCCCATGATACATCAATGCTTCCAAATTTCACCGCTTAATACCCCCTGAACAGCCCCTAATGACCATTTCCATTAAAAAATTGTATTCCCAATGTCTTTTAAATCGCCAAAAAAATTAAAAATCCAAGGGATCGACGAGGGGATAGCGTGTAAAAATAAAAAATACTCTGCCAACATCTGGCGGACTTGTGTTTCGCGTCATCCTCACGTAGGCGATACGTTTTATTCGTTCCGGACCACTGTCCAACACATGGATTAATTTCCACGGCTGAGAATTGCAATTGATTACCATGCGGAAATCTCGAGGAAGAAATATCTACTATACCCCCCACGGAAATATTCCTCTCATCAACATGTACATGAAATACGTCGATTGTATATTCATTTGTATATTATTTTATTTTATTTACTATTTATTTATTCTTTGGTGATTACAAATGTCAAGTTTTTCTTCGTTTCACCCCGTCACGAGCCTTTCCCTCTCCCCTTAATTACAGAAAAAAGTGTAATCTTAGATTCTAAATTATCTTTTCATATATTTCATTTATGTATTATGTTTTTATTAAAAAAGGGAAATGTAGACTTTTTCCGTCGTCTCCTTCCCCCTACGACGTTTATACTGATGGAAATTTCATCGAGGCTAAGCCCTGGCCAGTGTGCTACGACACGTATATGTATACAGACTCTCTCTCTCTCTCTTTCTCTCATCATGTTTGTCCCTTTGTTTACAGTGTTAAGTGTCTTTTTATATGCGTGTTAAAGGGAACATCAACATTGGTTGAAACTTTATATTTCGTCATTGAAAAGTTTGAGAGTTTATTGAACATCAATTGATTTGCAATAATTTTTTTTACTTCAGCAGTAGAACTAATTAATTTTGAATTAAATTAAATAATGAAAATTCCGAGAATTGAGATTGAAGAATTCCAAGAATTGAGATTCTAAGAACTGAACACAATCGACGCTCTCATCGTCCGCTGGAGTTTTTACTAGTCAACACAGTAATTTCCGCTATTTCATCGAGTTAAATGTAGAATGCGCAAGAGTTTGAACTAAAGTTTTAAATCGGAAGAAAAAATTGCAATTCAGCATAATGAAAATTCATAGGATTGGAGTAACTTCTCATCGTTCAATAGTAAAAATTAATTTAAAAAAATAAAGTGTTTTCAACTACTTTTAAAATTATTCTGTTAAATTAAAAAAAATGAATTTCACATCGCAAATGAATTTCCTGAAAAATTCTCGAATTCGATTCCACCCACTTCCCCAGCCCCTAAACTCACTAAATCCCACCGATCCAAGTACTACCTCCCTCTCCTATCCTCCCCCCTCCCCCCAACTCCCCTCATTCAAATAATTTTCTTCCCTACAATAGTAAAACCTCCAGTGTAAAACCTTGCAGAGAGTTTATTGAACATCAATTAATTTGCAATAATTTTTTTGACTTCATAAGACCCGACTAATGAATTTTGAATTGAATTAAATAATGAAAATTCATACGATTTGAGTAATTTCTCGTTCACTAGTAAAAATGAAGAAAAATAAATAAAGCGTTTGCACTTTTAAAAATTACTATGTTAAATCGTAAAAAATAAATTTCACATCGCAAACAAATTTCCTAAAAAATTCT